CTTTGTCATCACGAAATTATTTAGCTGTTCTTTGTCATGAAATTATTTCATTTCTCCATCATACTTGAAAGAGAGTTTTGCAGGGTATAGTAGTCTGGGCTGGAATTTGTTTTCATAGAAGACTTGAAGTACTCTGATCCATATTCTTTTTGCTTTCATGGTTTGTGAAGAGAAGTCGGCCATAATTCTGATGGGTTTTCCTTTTAATGTGACCTGCTTCTTTTCTCTAGCGGCTTTCAGTAGATTTTTTCTTGTGGTGAATTTCTAGGATCTTTACTATTATAGGTCTTGATGTGTTTTTCATTGGTTTGAGTTTACTTGACGTTCTGTATGCTTTGCTTTCCTGAATGTCAGATTGTTTCCTCATATTTGGGAAGTTTTCTGCTATTACTTCTGCCCATGTTTTTTAAATGTCATTTGTATTGACTCCTTCTTTCTCATTGATGCCTATTAGTCTCACATTGTTCATCTTTGCATCATCTTGCAGGTGATGCATTATTCTTTACTGCATCCTCGTTGTTTCTATGAGATCCTTTCTTACCTTTTCAATAGCTGCACCAGCATCTTCAAGATCTGAAACTCTGTCTTCACTTTCACTTAAACGATTTTGCAAGCTTGTGATTGAGATTTTAATTTTCTCTGTATCTCTTTGACTCTGCTTCATGCAATCTGTTTCTTTCCAGTATTTTGCATTCAAGGAATCCGTCATTTTTCTAATCTCCTCTAATTTTTTTTTATCAATGTCTCCTTTAGAAGCAGTTATAAATTCTTTTACTGTAGCTTTTTTTTCATATTGGGCATCCTCCCTATGTTTCTGTAATTGCTTCTTTACTTCAGATGCTATGAGTTCTGATAATTCTTTTTTTGTTTCAGAAAATAATTGTGCTCTGAATTCCTCTATAGCTTTCTACTGTTGCTTATTTACTATTACCCTATTAATTCATGCATTTCAGCTGAGCTAGTGTCCTCTGCACTTGCTCTGGGTGTGCGTTGGGCTTCTTCCATGTGTTTCTGCATTTGTTTCCTTACTGCAGATGTAATTAATTCAGAGATTTTTCTTTTTATTTCCAATCTCAATTCCTCTATACCTTTCTGCAGCTTTTTCTTTATTTCAGAAGCCGTTCATTCATTGCTTTCAGCTGTGTGATTCCCAATTTGTTCTGTGTTAGTGTCCTCTGCACTTGTTATAGGTGCATTTGGGTTCTGAGTTTGCATTTTGTTCCTTTTCATCATTTTGTGTAGCACTTTCTTCTGACTTTTATTGTAGACCTTCATTGTAGTTATAAGCTTAACATGTACCTAAGTTCAAGTGCAGATCTACAAAGTTTGCATTTTTCCAGCTGTGCCTGTCTTGGATCTGGCTGCTGTGCTCAGCTCCTTCCTGCTGCTGCCCTTGAGGGTGAACCTGTTGTGACCTTCTGGGAAGATTTTCTTCTTTTCGACTAGCTGAATGATTCTATCCTCTACACTCTCTGCAGGGATTTCAGCTGCAGTGTTTCACCCCAACCCTGTATGCCAGGCCTGAGCTGAGCCTGGAGGGGACAAGGTGGAGTAGGGGGAAGAGGAAGCTCTCCTACACACTCACCGGATCTGGACTAGAACTGGGTCTGGGTATTCCTGGAATGGGGCAAATTTCCTACTTGACGTGCAGGGTGAGCCAGGTGCTGAGGAGTGTTGGGAGGTGTCCCAAGTGTGTGGAAAAGGGTCTCTCCCATACTGCACCTGGGCTGAGACCAGTAATAGGTCCCGTTGTAGCAGTGTAGCTGGAAACTCTCCCATACACTCAAGGGACCTGGGTTAGGACTGGGTCTGTGGGTTCCTAAATGTGGCAGAAATTCCTACTCTGTGGGGGGTGCTGTGGGGGAGGTGCTGCGGAGTGGTGGGGGGTGTTCCAAGGTGGTGGAATAAGGTCCCACCCACGCTGGGCCTGGGCTGGGACCAGTAATAGGTCCCGCCAGCCCAGCGTAGCTGCAAGCTTTCCTTTGTAGGTTGTTTTTTGTCTCAACAAAGTTTTCTCTTTGCTCTAGTCATGTTTCAAACTAGGGCCTTTGCCCAGAGCCACACTTAAGGTCCTTTTTCATTTTTATATTTTGATATAGGATCTTTATAAGTCAGTAATTTTCTCGTACCGGACTTAAATATGTGATTCTTCAGTCTTTGACTTGCATAGTGCTGAATTTCCAGATATGTGCCTCCATATGCACCTGAATAAGGTTTTTGACAGAGAAAAGATTTCCTTTTTAATTTCTAGTAAATCAACTTAATTATTTTGTTTTATATTATGTGTTTAGATATAGAGTTTAAATTATGGTGTATTTTTTTGGCCAACATCTGCTTCTGTTGTAGTCCAGTTGTTTCAACATCTTTGTAGGGAATCCTGCCCTTTGTCTCTTGAATTTCTCTTGTATCATTGTTAGAAATCAACTGTGTCTCTTTGTGTGAGTCTGTTTCTATTGGCCTGTTTTGTATGATTGATCTTCCTGTCTATATGTCTTCCAGCACCACCTGGCCTTGGCCATTGTAGCTACACAGTAATTCCCAACATCTAGGTGCATTATTCCTCCTATTCAATATTTTTCTGGATTTGTTTTAGCTTTTCTTGGCCCTTTATTTTTCCATACAAATTCAGAATAAAGTCATCTGTGTCTTCAAAATACTTGGTGAGATTTTGATAAAAGCTAATTTAAAACTCTTGTTAAACTTGAAGGACAATCTCTTTTGTTATTATGTTCAATTTTCCAATCCATGAATACAGTGTGTCTCTACTTAAAGTTTCTTAGATTTCATTCATCAGCATTCTGTAGCTTTAGGATAGAGACACTGTGCATATTTTGGCTACATTCATATAAGGTTTAATCAAAAACTACATTGTATTTATATCTTAAAAATTATTACAGTGAAAAGCACATAGCCATGGTTCCCCTTCAAATATTCATCTCCATTCTGAACACACTTATTTTATCATTCCTGTAATGTTCTGAATCAGTTTTGGCAGTACTTTTTCTTTTGTGCTTGAGTTGTACTTTTCTGGCTAACTCGATATCCCGAATTGCTTTGAAATGTTTCCATTTAACAGTCATTTTGTCTTTTGGGAAGTGCCACAAATCACATGATGCCAGATCTGGTGAACAAGATGGATGGAGGCACTGTGTCATGTTTTCACAAAGCTGTTGTCATGGTTTATGGTATTGGCAAGGGGGAGTAATACAATACAGGACACATTTTTATAATATTATTTTATAAGGAATCATTCAAGAATCATATACAAGAAGTGTAGCAATTCTATCCACATTCTAAACTGTAAAGGATCCAGCTAAGCACCTGGATCTGAATATTCTGCATGAGTGCAGCTGGAAAACCTAGAGTTCATAATTAGGCCCTCCTACAAGTCCAAGTGGAAACCTAGAGCCTATGACAAAGTCTCATGCAGGCCTGCTTCATGGATATATGCTGGAAAGATCCAAAGATCAGTGGTGGAAGCTAAAATGTGTATGACAATGGGATGAAAGATCTGTATTAGCAGGCTGTGGGATCTGAAGTTGCTAGAGTTCCTTCAAAGGTACCATATCCATCCCCAGCAACAATGAGTTTCCAAGCTCCTCCAGCAATGCGGAAAGCTGAGTTCCCATCAGGAAAGCTAATGCAACACACTTTTAAATAAGGTTTATCAGTACCATCTGATCCTCCTGATCCAGGAAGTAATGCTCAAGATGAGGACTAGCACTCCTCCAAACCCCTTCAACAAAGCCAGTATGACAAGGTCCTTCAGCAGAATATCCAAAGAGAACTTGTAGCTTCCAAGAGCTCCAATAGCTTCTCCTAACAGCATCCTAACAGCATACTGACAACTTGTGCTGTTGTGCCTCTTATGTTGCTGGCAACAACCGTCAGATGGGCTGCACAGACCCAGCACCATGCTAGTTCAATTCAGCTGGGTGTAAGAAGATGACCATCTGTTAGCTATCCATTACAGTTGTCTTTCCATTTGCTGGCACTTGGCAGTTCCATTCACCATATTTTTTAAAATCACACCTTGTAAACGTATTTATGAAAGAAGACTTCCAAAATTGCTTCAGAAAATGTCAAGAATGATGGGACAATTTTGTTTGAAGTGTGTGTGTGAAGTAGATGATGGTGATTAATTGCAATGTCTTTTCTTGTGATGCATTAAAAATTTAAATAATCACCCTATTTTTCTATCATGTCTTCTGCTAAAGTATTTTATTTTCTTTTGATTATTCATAAATGAATTTCAAAAACTGTTCTTACTCATTATTATAATATATAAATGTAATAAAATTTTGTGTACCTCTCATTCTGAGATGAACTCTCTTGTTTGGGAAAATTTGTTTTGCATATTCTTGGAGATCTATAGAGACTGTGATGTTCCCTCAAAATAAGCATATTTCTACTTTTCTTCTTTGTGGTCTGTATGCCTTTTGCTGCATTTTCTTACCTCTTTGATTTAGCTAGGAATTCCAGGATGATACTGAATAACAGTAGTTATAGCAGGTATTTTTTAGTGTTGCTGACTTGAGGGGAATCATTCAGCCTTTCACCATCAAGTGTAGAGATAGTGGAATTATTCTGTAGAATTTTGTCATCAAGTAGAGGAAGTTTTCTTTGCTGAATTTTGATCATAAAGGGTGTTAGGAGATTCCATTTTTTAACAAAATATAGTTACAGAAGAAAGTTCAAGCAAGGAAAAAAATTATCTAGTGTTTTGTAAGCACCTCCCTGTAAAAATAAGCAAAAATGGATTCCACAGAAGACTTAACTGTAGAGGGCTAAAGTTTATGCCCTGTGACTGAGTGTCCTGAAGACAATAGAAGGAGGTTAGGCAATTTTGATGATTATTTACTGAGCTTGTATCATTGTACCTACCCCCTAATAGACAGTCACTAGATACATCTTAAACAAATGGTGTTTAAATCCTTTTCCATGGTTATCATGATCCTCATCCTTATGTGAAACAAACTGTGTTTTGTTTTGAATTCTAGTCTTTTGGTCCAATGGGTTTTATGCGAAAAGCCATTTCTTTAGCTGAGGATGAAGAATGGAAGAGAATACGAACAACAATGTCTCCAACTTTCACAAGTGGAAAACTCAAGGAGGTACTAAAATCAGAAGACTTGTATTAAAAACATAGAGAATGATTCTGGGGACAGGTAGAGTGTAGATCATAACCATTTTTTTTAGCTTCCAGTAACAGCTTTTTGTTCTAAGAAAGTCATTATATGGTTCATCCTTGGGAAAGTCATGTCCTCTGTGATTTGCGTCATCGTAATTATCTGTCTGTGTTGTGTCTGGTGTTTAGATGTTCCCCATCATTGAACAATATGGAGATGTGTTGGTGAAGAACCTTCGGCAGGCAGCAGAGAAAGGCACACCTATCGCCATAAAAGAGTGAGTAGTGGCACACCATATAAACTAACTCCCTTTTGTTGATGTATGTATAGCCAAAAGATGGCAAAGAAGCATTAATTTTAACTGTCTACATCTTGCTCAGGATCTTAGGGGCCTACAGCATGGATGTGATCACTGGTACATCATTTGGAGTGAACATTGATTCCCTCAACAACCCACAAAGTTCCTTTGTGGAAAAAGCCAAAAAGCTTGTAAGATTTGATTTTTTGGATCCATTTTTTCTTTCAGTAGGTATGCCATTTTTTAAAATTTCTCATCTTCTTTTTATAACTTTAGTGTACAACTTACAATAGCTTAATATGTTAAATTCACTGTTTCTCATACATTTAAAGATACGTACATCCATTGACACTGTGAATTGTTGGACTTTTTCATCAATTGAAAAGTCTAGTACTCTTTGCAATATCAATCTCTAACCATCCTTGCTTTGAGAAAAGTGTAACACACATTCTTTTTTTGTGAATTTGACTATTCAGGTCACTTTTTAAACATGAATGCAGAGTCCTAGCCCAGGTCCCATGAGTGTGTGGGAGAGCTTCCCATTATCCTGCGCTGGTGGGACCAACTACTGGCCCCAGCCTAGGCGCAGCGTGGGTGAGACCCTCTTCAACCCCCTTGGGACGCCCCCCCATCACTCTGCAGCACCTCTCCCACACTGCCCACTGAATAGGAATTTCTGCCGCGTTCCGGGAACCCTCAGACCCAGTCCTAGCCCAGGTCTGCTGAGTGTGTGGGAGTGCTTCCAATACCCTGCGCTGGCAGGACCAACTATTAGTCTCAACCCAGGCGTAGCCTGGGTGAGATCCTCTTCCACCCCCTTGGGATGCCCCCACCACTCTGCAGCACGTTCCCCACCCCGCCTGCCAAGTACGAAATTCTGCCGCATTTAGGGAACCCCCAGACCCAGTCCTAGCCCAGACCAAGTGAGTGTGTGGAAGAGCTACCTCTCCCACCTACTCCAACTTGTCCCCTCCAGGCTCAGCTCAGGTCGGGCATACAGGGCTGGGGTGTAACCCTGCAGGTGCAATCACTGCAGAGAGTGTAGAGGATAGAACCACCCAGCTAGTCCAGGAGCAGAAAATCTTGCCACAGGGGCACAACAGGTTCAACCTCAAGGGCAGCAGCAGGAAGGAGCTGAGCACAGCAGCCAGACCCAAGCCAGCCACAGCTGGATAAATCCAAACTTTGTAGATCTGCACCTGAACTTCAGTACATGCTAAGGTTATAATGACAACGAAGATCTACAACAAAAGTCAGAAGACAGTGCTACACAAAATGACAAGAAGGAACAAAATGCAAACTCTGAACCCAAGCCCATCCGAAACAAGTGCAGAGGACACTAGCTTGGCTCAAATGCATGAATTAATAGCGTCAATAGTAAATAAGCAACAGCAGAAAGATATAGAGGAAATCAGAGCACAATTCTTTTCTGAAATAGAAAAAGAACTCTCAGAACTCATAGCATCTGAAGTAAAGAAGCAACTACAGAAACATAGGCAGGTTGCATTTTGTTCCTTCTCGTTTTGTGTAGCACTGTCTTCTAACGTTTGTTGTAGATCTTTGTTGCAGTTATAATCTTAGCACGTACTGAAGTTCAGGTGCAGATCTACAAAGTTTGGATTTATCCAGGTGTACCTGGCTTGGGTCTGGCTGCTATGCTCAGCTCCTTCTTGCTGCTGCCCTTGGGGGTGTACCGGTTGTGCCCCTGTGGCAAAATTTTCTTATCCTTGACTAGCTGGGTGGTTCTATCCTCTACACTCTCTGCAGGGATTGCAGCTTCAGGGTTTCACCCCAGCCCTGTATGCCAGGCTGAGCCGAGCCTGGAGGCGACAAAGTGGTGTAGGGGGTAGAGGCAGCTCTCCCACACACTCAGCAGGCCTGGGCTAGGATTGGGTCTGGGGGTTCCGGGAACGCATCAGAAATTACTACAAGGCGGTTTGGTGGAAGTGCTGCCGAGTGGTGGTGGGCGTCCCAAGGGCGTGGAATAGGGTCTCACCCATGCTGCGCCTGGGCTGGGACCAGTATTAGGTCCTGCTGGTGAAGGAAGCTGGAAGTTCTCCTACACACTCACCAGGCCTGGGCTAGGACTGGGTCTTATTTTATTAATTTTCTTAAGAAACAAATAGCAATGAGACAGTTTCAAAACTGATTAGTAGAACAGTTTCAATAGTCAATACATTGTACATTGTTATTTTTGTAATGGTTAATCACAGTACAAGATGCAGACATGATATGCTGTCTAAATACTATTAGTACAGATCTTTCTTCTCATTGAATTTAGGAGAAAGCAGCTGTATATCTATCCTAAATATTTTGCATATACAAATACAAAATGGTCTTTCATTTGAATCCTCTTTTTTTAAAAATTTTGTCAGAGATGGGTATTCCATTGCCATTTCAATATGGCAGGTGCATGAATTCAGCAAAATAATCCAATATAATCCGGTAGTCCATAATAGTAGTGGGTTATCCATAGGACTGGCAATTTCAGACGTTGTTGACTTGAGCCTTTTACAGCTCAACATATTAACATTGTCTATTTTGGTTAATTCATGCAATTTTTCTAGTAATATAATTGTTAACAGTATTTCATTATAGTACCCACCTCTCCAGAATGAGATATGGTCTATCTAAGTTTCTCAGACTGGGCTGGAATATATATCTTGCCTTAGTCTCCCAAAGGGTTTGGTTTACAGACATGCCCCACCATATCTGACTGTAATCTTTTTTAAAAATTAATCTTACTGAGAAACAAATAGAAATGAGAGAGTTTCAAAACATGTTAGTGGGAAAGTTTTAATAATTAATACATTGTAAATTGTTATCTCCTTAGTGGTTATTCATAGTATAAAATGTGAACGTGGTATCCTGTCCAAACACTATTAGTACAAATCATTCTTCTCATTGAATTTAGAGAAAGAACCTGTATATCTATCCTATTTTGTATAGACAGATATAAAATGGTCCTTCAATTATACAACCTTTTTTGTTTAGTTTTGTTGGAGATGAGTAATCCATTGACATTTCAGTATGAAATGGTGGGTGAATTCAGGAAAATAATCCAATATATTCCAGTAGTCCATAATAGTAGTGGGTTTTCCATAGGACTGGCAATGTTAGAAGTTTTTAACTTGAGCCAATTACAGCTCAGCATATTACTTTGGCTTTACATTTTATATTTTGTTTTTATATTTTTCTACTGGATGGTTAAGACCAAGGTAAAGCAAGACCTGTATAACTAGAAATATAACTTCTGTATCTGAAGAGTCTGTCAAATTCTCTCAGGAGTTATCTTGAAACCCGTTACCACAGCTTGTAGATCTTTTGACAGTGTCATCTATGGGGAAGAGTCACGGCCATTGCTCGACCACTTTACTCTCTGTGAAAACATGAGAGAATGTTGTATTTTCATGTGACTCTCCTTAGGTACACTCTACATTCATGGATCACTTTCCTCTGTGGCCCCATAGTCTCCTTGATCAGTAAATTAGGGACACAACTGAGTTACAGGATATTTCAGTGTGGGTTCTCTCATGTCCTGAGTTCTCACTGACCTTGAAAGGCTAGGGCTGAAATGTTGGCTGTCCTTGCAGCATTTCTTTATCTCTAATTTTTTGTCTGCACACTTATGTTGTTAATCCACCAGAAGAGACGTTTAATGATATTACCTATAACATTGGCCATTGAGATTAACCTCACTATCTGTCTCAATATCAAATATCTTAGACATAACATGGAAAAGGTATTTTCCATCAAGTATTGATATGTTAAACTTTAAATCCCTACAGCATGGGAAGAAAATAAATAAAAAATAAAAAAATTAAGAAACATATTTAAAAAATAGGAATAAACAATTAGATATTTTTAGACCAAAATTTAGAAATCTAACTATATATAACATTGTAGTAGGACAGTACTATGACATTTTTTCTTATCTCTTGTTTTCATTTATTACTTTTTTTAAAAAAGAAACATTTACTTGAGAGACAGTATAACAGTAATTGATATGACATGAGAAGCAGTATGTATTTATATGACTGGAATAACAGGCATTCCAAGCATGACCCCAGTATTGCACATTACACACAACTGCTATCTTCAGTGCAGTTGTTTAGGTCACAGGTATCAGCATATATTGTCAGGGTGAGAATCCTACGAATTGCCTGGTAGTTTCAAAAACCTGCTGAAGTTTCTCAGAATCATTGCCATAGCCATCTTGTGAATGTAAATGTATGGTTTTACCCTTGTCATGTTTTGTAGCTTTTCTCCTTGGCTTCTGTTTATTGTTTAGTCCTTAAGTTCTCTCTTTCCTTTTAACTGTACTGTACCTTTCTATTTTTATTTCTTCTTTTGAGTTCTTACACTAGGGAGACTATACAATTTTGACACTTGTGGGTCTGGTTTATTTCACTTATGGGTATATCTTCAAGTGGCATTCACTTACATAAAAATGCCTGAAGTTTGTCATTCTTTATAGCTGAGTAATACGCCATTGTATAAAAATGCTGCATCTTTTTTATCCATTCCTCAGGTCAAGGGCATCTTGGTTGTTTCCAAGATTTGGCTATCACAAATTTACTGCTATCAATACAGGTGCACATGTATCACTTTGATATCATGTTTTCCTTTTTTCTCGGAACATTTCCATTAGGGGAATAACTGGTTTGAATGGGATTTCCAGTCCTAGTTTTTTAAGGAGTCTCTGCACTCATTTCCATAATGGTTGCATCAGTCTATATTCCCACTGGCAATGGAGAAGTGTTCCATTTTCCCCACAGCTTCTCCAACATTTGTTGTTGGTTGACTTCTGTATGATAGCCATTGTTTCTGTGGTGAGATGGTACTTCAGTGTTGTTTTAATTTGCATTTCACAGATGGCTAGTGATGTGGAAAATTTTTTTCATGTATTTATTGGCATCTATAATTTCATCCTTTGAGAAGTGTGTGTTCATGATGAATGACCATTTCTGGATTGGGTCTTTTAATTTGGGACCCTAATTTATTTTTAGCTCTTTATGAATTCTAGAGAGCCAAGCTTTGTCTGAGTGCTTATTAGTTAAGTTTTTTTCCCCAATTTGTGGGCTGTCTTTTCACTTTGTTGGTAATTTCTTTTGACGTGCAAAACTTTTGAGTAAGAGGAGGTCCCAGTTGCGGACTATAATCTTTCAAAGACCTGTAATTATTTACCCTCTTTCATTCTGAGTGGTACTGATTTGCATTATTTGGCTTTTTTGGGTTAATTTGCATAGAGATTTAACATTTAAAAAATCAGCTTCTTGATTTCTAATTTTTGTATTTTTTGCTGTCTGCCTCATTAGCTTCAACTTAGTCTTTTTTACATTCTTCCATTTGCTTTATGTTTAGCTTGCTATTTTTATTGTTATTGATGTGTTGTTGAACATTTGACTGTTATCATGAGAGATCTTTAAAAAATTTATAGTCATAAATTTTCCTTTGAGCACTACTTTGTGTTCATCTTACAAGTTTGTTAAATAACATCTTCATTTATATTGTTCTTACCCCTAATTTAATTGTCCCCTTGAGTTGTTCTTTGTTTCTTTGGCTGTTTTGGATTGCTTTAATTTTGACATTTTTGTGAATTGCTTATTTTGTTATTGTTGGATATCTGTATTCAACTTATGGTAGCTGGAAGAATATATACATGAATGTTCATTGCTGAAATGATTAAACAGCAGTTTGTGGCATGGTTGATTCAAAAGACTTTAGTTCAATAGATTCAAAGAAAAAAGTAGGGTATATAATATTGCTTTTTTGGTCAGTCCACAATTCAGCTGGGCCCCTGATTCACTGCCACTTTGATGGCCCTCTATGTGATATTCCCTGGCCTAGCCAGTGGATTAGATGCTTAGCCGACTTCACAGAGGATTGGCTCACAGTTGAGAACTTTTTCTTCTTCTTCTTCTTTTTTTGGTGAAACCAGAGATTGAACTCAGGCACTTGCACTTGCCAGAGAAGTGCTTATTCTACTGAACTATCTCCCCAGCCCCCTGAGCTTTTATTCTTGCGAATGTTTCAGAAAAGTATAACTGCTCAAAGTGAATTTTGTGTTTTCATTAATGTTGGTTTTCTTTTCTCCATAGCACTCTTCAAATTCCTTACTCCACTATATGAATGGCTAAATATCACCATTTTCCCATATGACTCTTTAATATTTTTCAAAGACTTTGTACTAAGGACAAAGAAAAATCGTGTTGAAGCTAACCAGAAGGTAAATGTTGTGGTCATGTGAGGATGTTGACTTCTTCATATGTGGGCCATATGAAAATGAGCTGTACACTTTCTTCTGTGTTTTGTTAAAAGTAAATAAAATTTCTAGGTTTATAGCTGCATAATATTGACATTCAGGGGAATGAGAAAGGTAGAGATTAGAGAAATTAGTGACAATGAATGAGAGAGACAGAATTTAACATTTAATGGCAGGAATGAAAGTTTGTGTACCATCACATACATATTGTGAAAAACTTTGCCACTTGTCTTCCATTTGATAAATTGTGAAAGCATAAATGTCACATTGAAACTTTATTTTCAAGGGTATTATAAATCTCCACATTCTGCATTGGGATACAATTGTCTCAGTTTTAAGCCTTTATTTGACACTCTTCAATAGAAGTTCTCAGTGCACCTAATGGAATAAGTCTGTGATAAATTTGAGACCTGCCATGATGTGGAGTGGACAGGTTTCTTTATGGAACATCGAGCTTGTCATCTGGCAAATACAGCTTGGCTTTAGGTATCCTGGAAGCCAGCATAAAATGTGTGCAGGTAAAGGAAGCAGGAAAAACATTCCATGTGTCACTGAGACCTCTATAGCTGTCTCAGTTACCCTTGTCTCATTGCTGGAACAAATACCCAACACTCAAAATGAAGGAAGGAAAGGCTTATTTAGCTCACAGTTACTGGAAGTTTCAGTCCATACTCAACTGGCTGTAAGGCAGAGTGGCACACAGCAGAGTGCAATCTTTCTTGATGGCAGCAAAGAGCAGAGAGAGCAAACAGTAGCAGCAGTTATGGCTGCAGAGGTCAAGACTGTTTCCCTTAAGTTGCATTCAGGCTATCCACCTCTGACTGGTAGTAGTAGTCATACTCATAATCCCAGCAGGATTCACATCCATGATCCCAGTGGATCATGAGTTAATGACAAACCTTAGAAATCTGTTTCATGACTGCATGAAGCTTTAGGGGGACAACTAGACACAAACCATAACAATAGCATTTTTGGAGTGTGGAATATTTTAAGATACTTGCACCAAACCTGCATATACACTATAGAAGTGGATGAAAGTTAATCTATGAGCCACCAGCTAAAAAATAAGGCAAGAGAACAAAAAGGGTTGGAGCCCATGACTTCTATCTGAGCAAGATGGGACAGGAGAAAGAGCTAGCAACTCTATGACCAGGACTCTGTGTTCAAAAGCCAGAGTAGCTCAGGATCAGGGAGGGCCAAAGCAGATTTGATGGATCAAGTTTGTTTTTTCTCAGGAAAACATCCCATTGTGCATCGTTTACAGATGGGTATTTTTTTTTTATCTGATGACTTAGGCAGCACCCATCGTATTTGTGGATTTGAAGGGACCATATTTTCAGAAGGGAGGTTACAATCTGCATTTCTGATTCACTTCTGACATTACAAAGAACTGTCTGTCATGAAAGATTTTGTTTTCTCTTCCAGGATCGAATGGATTTTCTTCAGCGAATGATAGACTCCCAGAAGTCCAAAGACTCAGAGACCAATAAAGGTAACCAAGTGTTCACCATGGTCTAGTGATAGGAAAGCTCTGAAGAAGAATATTGTTTACAAAATGTGCAGGAAGGCACAGTGGCCAGGATCCAATCCCTGGCTGTTGTGCTGTCCCCGCGTGTGTGTTGCACTGTGATGGCGATTGAGACTTGGCATGGTGGCCTGTAATCACAGCATTTTGAGGCTGAAAACAGGAGAATCACTATGAGTCTCATCTACATAATGAGACCCTGTACACCCTCTAGACACTGTCCTAAATACAGAAAAGCAAACAAAAACAAAACAAACAAATGAACAAACAAACAAAAAATGAAATGTGCAGGAATGTTTCTAGCCAGATGAATGTTTCTGCCAAATTATAAGGAGACACATGCAAAAGTATAGAAAAGTAGCCACATAATTCCCCAAGGATGGGCATCAGGTATTTGTATACTAAATGGGTATTAATCACCTTGAAAGAGTCTGAAAGTGTCACTAATTCAACCCCAACAGGAGGAGACCTTGCTTTGTATTCTTGCCCGCTTGCTATATGACTTGCTTCTCTATTTGATCCAGATTTTAATCAATTTTACCTGAGCAATGGTGCTTGTAATCTCATAGGTTGACCATAGTTTTGTCCCACCATATGCCCACAAAATGAGTTCCTATAGTTTTCTTCTCAGACCCACCTCAGTACGTGGTTTTACTCTGTAAATATCCTTGGAAAAGGCAACTTCTTGGGCAACCCACTCAGGTCACCCTTCCGTCCCATTTTTGGACAGAAGCTTTCTCTCTTCAATAAATATTCTGCTCTTAAATGAGAGCAATAAATTACAGGGAGGTATACACTTAGATATTAGCCATAGACACTTTCTAGTGCATACAACTTCAATATGTTCAAAGCTGGAAGGACAATCATAGCAAAGCATGTGATGGTTATAAGTTATCAGAGTCTTAGATGATCTGCATCAGAACAATTGCTGATTCTCAGCCTTATAGACTTATATTCACACTCAGTGAATCAGAAGCTCTACCTGGACATCCAACCAGGGGCACATTGTTAAGATGGAGGCAACATTCACCAAAAAGACTTAGAGACAGTGTGTCCACTAGCTTAATGTACTTTCAAGATTTATTTTTCCTTTCATCAAAACAGGTAGCTTCTAACGGACATCTCTGTGGCTTTGTAAATATCTTGTTTTTCTTTATATTTTAACCCACTGGTTTTATTTTCTGTAATTGTGTGTGTGTTTTTGTGTGTATGTGTGCATGTTGTGTGCACTATGTGTGCTTGTTTTCAGTACTGAGGATTGAATCTGGGATTCATACACTGAGCAACAATTCTAGCTCTTTTTATTTGTTCTTTTGAGATGGGGTATCTCTAAGTCACTAAGTTGTCTAAGCTGGGCTTGAAGTTGCAGTCTTCTTCCTCAGCCTCTCAGGATGCTGGGATTATAGACGTATACCACCACATTTCTGTAGCTATTTTTAATTAAAACAATTATTGCTATGATTATTACAATATGATGAACTTCAAATTTCATCATTTATTTTACAGTTATTCATAAGTACCCAATGGAAGGTGAATCTTCACTTCTTCCTCATCATTTGTTTTAAATTTTCTCCTTCATTTATATCAATGTGACCTTATATATTCCCAATTATTCTCATTATTATTATCATCACTATCATTATTATTGTGTTATTAATCTTTTCCCTGACTTGTATACTGGAAGTTCTTTTAAATGGCCTGTGAGATTCTTTCTATGTTTTCAAATTATCAGTTTAAAATGGAATTATTTTTTAAAAAATATTACCTCAGATTATTTATACTTTTATTTATTTATTTGCTATAGGGTCTCTCTATGTAGCTCAGCTTTGTACAGATACTCCTGGCTGAGACAAGCCTCTACAGCACTGGGATTACAGGCATGCACCAACACACCCAGTTTTGGTGACTGACATGGCATGTGATTCTGGGGATTTACCCAGGTCCTAGCACTTGTGAAGCAGGTACTGAGACCACTGAGCTATGTCCCCTACCCCATAATTTATTATTTAGAGTTTTTTAGTTCTTAGCCCAATGGAGGAGAAAATATAGAGATTTTTCCTATATTCCTGCAGTTTCACACACACTCACTGCCCCGTTATCACCATCTTTCTCCAGAGTGACCCATGTGTGTCACGAAACATGAACCTACATTGAGTTATCATCATCATCATCATCATCATCATCATCATCATCATCATCATCATCATCATCATCAAAGTCCCTTGTTTTCATTAGGGTTTAGTTCCAACCACATATACCCCTTAAGTTTAGACAAATGTGTATTAACATGCATCAACCTCCAGTAGTGTAGAATCCAGAGGGTTCTGTGTCTTTTTAAACTATCATTTTCTGAGTAATAGCTTATTATCTTGTAGAAGATATCAAGTTTCCCTTCTATTTCCACAGACAACCTTAGAATCAGCCATTTATCAAAGGGTTCCTGGTCCCTTTTAGTGAGAAATGGGACTTAGGAACCAAAATCTCAGATGCAGTGTGGTAGTACCCACTGGAATTTTGTTTTGCATCTACATTTACCCAGTAGACAAAAATAGGAAAGTTAAATTGATTTCTATAAATATTTTTGTGCCAATCCATGTGCAGTGCTGGCCATAACTGCTTCTCTTTTTTTTCTCTCTCCTCCCTGCTTTCTCCCTCTTTCTGTTCCATCCCTTTTCTTTCAAACAAAAAAAATATTGATAGCTTGTTTCTTTGGTTTAAGTGTACATTAATTCCATCATGGTGAACTGCATGCCATGATTTGTCAATCATGTGATGCAAAGCTTAAATGTTTAACAATATTCTAGAGAGGAGTTGTGTTGACCTCACCACAATATTTTGCATGCACTATGTGTACCTCTGCTTCCATGCATCTGTCAATTCTTGTCTCTCTTCAGTCTAATGCAACTTGCCACAATGAAAGTAATATTTTTGTGCTATTCAATATGATTACTAGAAACATGCAGCCATTGTACCTTTGACAAATGGTTAGTACCATCAAAGAATTGAAGTTCAAAGGTTACTTAAATTCATTGAAAATTAAATGTGAATAGCCAGGTGTGATTCAGGATCCAGAGAAGATAGCCAAGTTCTAACCTTTGAATTTACAGTTGAATTTCAATTTAATAATTTTAAATTTATTTGTTTATTATTATGATTATTATTATTATTATTATTTTCTGGAACCGGGGATTTAACTCAGGCCATTGACAATTGCTAGGCAAGCACTTATTTTACTAAGGTATTTCCCAGGTCCGGCTTATGAGTATATCATCAAGTGGCATCCACTTCAATATAAAGGCTTTGAGTTTATCATTCTTTATATCTCAGTAATACTCCATTGTAAGAAAACACCACATCTTTTTCATCCATTTCTCAGGTGATGGGCATCTTGGTTGTTTCCAAGATTGGGCTATCACAAATTTTGCTGCTATAATCATAGGCACACATATATCCCTATGATATGATGTTTTCACATCCTCTGGGAAAATTGCCAGCAGCAGTGGAGAAAGGTTCCTTTTTCCCCAGAGCCTATTCAACATTTGTTGTTGGTTGATTTCCTTATGATAGTCATTCCTGCCTGGGTGAAATGATATGTCAATATTGTTTTAATTTGCATTTCATGGATGGCTAGTGATGTGGAGCATTTTTTTATGTATTTATTCGCTTCTTTAATTTCATCCTCTGAGAAGTGTGTGCTCATCCCAGATGCCCATTTCTGGATTGGGTCTTTAAATTTTGGGGCCCCAGTGTTTTTTGTTCTTTATCACTTCTACAGAGCAGACCTTTGTCTGAGTACTTATTTGTCATGAGTTTTCCAAAGTTGTGAGTTTTCTTTTCACTTTGTTGGTAATTTCTTTTGACGTGAAAAAACTTCTCAGTAAGAGCAGGTCCTAGTTGTTAATTCTTTCAACTGTGTCCCGTGCGATTTGATTTCTGTCCATGAACTCTTTTCCTACCCCTATGTCTTCAAGAGTTCCTCCTACTTTCTCTACCATGAGATTTAGTATCTCTGTTTTAATGTTTAGATCTTTAATCTATTTTGACTTTAGTTTAGTGCATGGTGATAGACCTTGGTCAAGTTTTGTTTTTCAGCGTGTATAGAGCCAGTTTTTCCAGGGCCATTTGTTAAAGAGGCTGTTTTTCTTCCAGTGAGAATGTTTGGCCACTTTGTCAGAGATAAGGTGGTTGAGTGTGTTCATAGGGGCATCAGCAACTTCTAATATATTCCATTAATCCTCAGGTCTATTTTTTGCCAGTACCATGCTGATTTTATCACAGTAGCCTTGTATTATAATTTCAATTCAGGAATTGCAAGGCCTCCTGCCTTGTTTATATTGCCCAGGATTGCCTTTGCTATTCTAGATCATTTTGGTTCCAAATAAATTTTAGGAATGATTTCTCAACCTCTGTGAGGAATGTTGGTGGTAGTTTGATAGGAATTGCATTAAATCTGTGCAGCAATTTTGAGAGTATGACAATCTTCACAATGTTGGTTGTTCCTATCCAGGAGCATGGAATATCTTTCCATTTTCTGAAATCCTTTATGATCTCTTTTTGAAGAGTACTGTAATTTTCCGTGAAGAGATCTTTGATTTCTTTAGTTAGATTAATTCCAAGGTATTTCATTTCCTCGGTGCTATTGTAAAAGGTATTGTTTCTATAATTTCCCTCTCAGTGTATTTGTTATCTGTGTAGAGGAATGGTATTGATTTTTGGTATTGAATCTATAACTTGCTGTGCTACTGAATTTCTGTATTAATTTTAGTAGCTTCTTGTGGAGTTTTTTGGGTCTTCCAAGTAAAGTATCATGCCATCTGCAAATAGTGATAATTTAACTTCTTCTTTACCTATTCTTATTCCTTTTATTTCTTTCTCTTGTCTAATGGCTCTAGCCAATGATTCCAGAACTTTATTGAATAGGAGTGGTGATAGAGGACATCCTTGTCTTGTACCAGATCTAAGAGTAA